GCGGCGCTCCCTGTTGCACACCCACACACACACGGAAGTTCTCAGGCCAGTCTACCCGCCCGAGCTGCACTTCTCTTAGGGCTTCCTGGTAGTTCTGTTAGGAAACAAGCGCAGAGCGAGCTGCTCCGGCCCGGCTCCTGCACTGAGCCCTCTCCGTCCGGCTCCGACTTGAGTGTTTCTCCGACCTGGACACTCGCTCCTGCCGTCTGCCCCTCGCTGTCGCTTCTCCCGTGTTCACTCAGGGGTTCAAGCCTGTTGCGGGGTCTGTTTTCACTTCAAAGGAGCTCCGACCGCCCCTCTCTCCTATGCTGCTTTGTTGACACCTCCTTGAAAAAGTGCTCCGCTGAAGTCGCCTGCCCTTTGTGGTTAATCTTGCAGTAAATCTTTAAAAGTTGCAGATATCCGAGGCTAAGTTATGTCGGTCTCCTTTCCCCCACCTTATTCCCGCGCAGTTTTTACTCAATTCAACAACTGTTTGATTACCAGTTATATCTGTCGCTGGGGCTATTGAGATAAATGACATTTCCTGTCCTCAAAGGGAAGTTGGCAAGTGTATCTTCGACCTCCCGGAGCCTTCAAGCTATGCTGCCCGAGAAAACAAAGTCCCTTTCTGCTCCCTGGAACTGTCTCAGGTTCCCAGGCACGGCTCCCTTTTCACTTGTCCGGTCCCGTTTCTCCACGGTTCACCTGCAAACGGGCAACAGCACCAGCCTCCCAAAGGAGCCGGAGTTCCTGCAGCCGTTTCTGTGCAAATGTTACCCCTCCCCAAGCCCCTGAAATGTCACTGTACGTGCAGGCCACAACCATAATGAAAGGAACACATTTGGTAAAGTATATAACAAATGCAAATGAAATTAAGCACTTATTTGGTCTTCATCACAAGTTATTTGTAGTTTTTTTTTTTTGTTGTTCTGTGGGATGGACTTCTGAGATACCAGATCTGATGGCCATGAAAAAAATGTAAAGATATAGGCTGATGAGTGACATGTCAAGGAAGGACATCCTGTCCCTCTCCCCTGTCGCTTCCCTTCCCATGGCTGCTTGTGGAAAGGGCAGGAAACACATGGTGTCTGCCAATAACAGTGGCAAGCTCTATTCTCCTATAATATTGAATGTTTCTGTTTCATTAATTCACTCTTTATTATAATAAAAGTTTGATACCTGGGCAAATCCCCTGGGTCATAATTATTTTGGCGGTAAGTGTCCTTTGAGATACTGCCCAATCCTCTCATTTTACAGCTCAAGAAACTGAAGTTCAAAGAAGTTGAGACTTGTCCACAATGAGGTTTTTATTCAGTGGCACAGGCAAAACTAGAAACCAGTATTCCTGACTGCTAGTTCACTGGCCTTTTCACTAACGTTGCCTCCTCTCTTATCAGACCTACAACAGTTGCAAGGGGACAATAATGCAACAACGGCATCTTCTTTTTTTTTTTGAAGGATTTAAGTAATCTTAGAGATTTTTAATGTTAAAAGCTATTTTTTCTCTAATAAAAGACATCTGACAATTCATTTAAATAAATTCATAACACACTATTAAATATAATTAAACTAAATGGTAGCTTTTGAGGAACCCATAAATCATCTAGTTTCACACAAAAAAAAGAGAAAGTCAGAAATGAAAGAAGAGCTATTACAACTATTACCACAGAAATTCAAAAGATCATAAGAAACTACTATGAACAATTACCAGTCAAATTGGACAGCCTAGAAGAAATGGATAAACTTCTAGAATCATGCAACCTACCAAGACTGAATCATGAAGAAATAGAGAATCTGAGCAGAGTACTATAAGGAGATTGAATCAGTAATCAGAAAAGTCTAGGACCAGATGGCTTCACTGGTGAATTCGAACAAACATTCAACAAAAAATTAATACCAATCCTCAAACTCTTCCAAAACATAGAAAAGGAGGGAATGCTTCCAAACTCATTTTAGGAGGTCAGCATCACCCTGACACAACACTAGACAAGGACAACACAGGAAGAGAATATTAGAGGCCAATATCCCTGATGAAAATAGATGCCAAAACCCTCAACAAAATATTAAAGAAAATTAAACAATACATTAAATAGATCAAACACTGATCAAGTGGGTTTTGTTCACGGATGCAAGGCAGTTCCACATCCACAAATCAGTCAATGTGATACACCACATTAAGAATCCTATTGATAAAAGCCTAACATGCAAATCGACCGAACAGCAGAACTACCGGTCGGCAGGGGGTGGGGCCAGGGAGCGGTGGCACCAAGGCCAGCCAAGGCAGGTGCCAATGGGCAGAGGGAGAGGGCGGCGGTGGAGGGGTGATGGGGGGCAGGGCTGGCCACTCGCCCAGCGCCATCCCTCAATCAGCCCGCTGGTCGCAGTGGGAGGCCAGACTGCGGCTTAAGCCAACAGTCAGACATCCCCCGAGGGCTCCCAGACTGCGAGAGGGTGCAGGCCGGGCTGAGGGAACCCCCTGAGTGCATGAATTTTCGTGCACTGGGCCTCTAATGAAAGATAAAAATCATGATCATCTGAATAGATGCATAAGAAGCATTTGACAAAATTCAACATCCATTTATGATAGCAAAGCAGGTATAAGGGGACATACCTCAACATAATAAAGGCTATATATGACAAGCCCCAAAATAACATTCTACTTGATGGAGAAGAGCTGAAAGCTTTTCCTCTAAGCTCAGAAACAAGATAAGGGTGTCCATTGTTGCTATATTTATTCAATATAGTATTGGAAGTCCTAGCCAGAGCAATTAGGCAAGAAAAAGAAATAAAAGACATCCAAATTGAAAAGAAAGAAGTAAAACTCACTATTTACAGATGACATGATAGTATACATATAAAACCCTGAATAGTTCATCAAAAAACTTAGAACTAATAAATGAATTAAGGAATATTACTGGATACAAAATCAATAACAAAAATCTATTGCATTTCTGTACACTAATAATGCACTATCAAAAAGAGAAATTTAGAGAACTATCCCATTTACAATTGCATCAAAAAGAATAAAATATCCAGGGATAAATGTAACCAAGGAGAGACATATATATACTAAAAACTATAAGACATTAAGAAAAGAAATTGAAGAAGACACAAATAAATGGAAAAATATTCTGTGCTCATGGATTGGAAGAATTAATATTGTGAAAATGTCCACACTACCCAAAGCAATCTACGGATTCAATGCAATCTCTATCAAAACCCCAATGACATTTTTCACAGTAATAAAACAAACAATCCTAACATTTGTATAGGAACCACAAAAGACCCTTGAATTTATTTCCTCTTTGTACTCATCCGTCTGTCACATTTGCTGTATTCAGCATGAATTACACTTCTTTAAGTAAACACTTTATAGCATATAACATATACAGAAAAGCACACAAGTGGTAAGTGAACACCTCACTGAAATATTCAATGTAACCACCACCCAGATCATGAAGCAGAACGTTGCAGGTACCCCAGAAGACCCCTCTCAATGTATTCTCAGACACTACAGCAAAAATGTTTTTTATTTTGAAAAAAATATTCTTAAAAAATTAATAACTAGAAATGACATTTATAACTAGCTAAACCTACATTTTATTCCCCATTCTACAGTTTTCCAAATCTGGAAATCTTGGACAAGTGGTTTTACCTCTTTCTACAGCACTTCCTTCATTTTTAATATGGGAATAATATTTACCTTATAAAGTCACTGTGAAGATTAAATGAGAAGAAATGTGAATCCCGTAGCACAGTTTCTGACATACAGTATATACTGAATGATGGCTTTTATTGTAATAGTTTACTCATATGACTAGTTGAAATAACGTGTAAAATTTAAATACTAGGGGCTCCATAGTTTTACTTTTTGCTTTCTCATTCCCTATTCAGAACTTTAATTCAGCTGAGCTAAAATAATCTTTTTAAAAATTAATATCTATGCCCAACCATTAAACCTCAGACCTCAAGGTATTGCTGATTTCCTGATTGTTTCATTTTATAATTACTTAAGCCAGTGACACAAAAAAGTGTTTCTTTTCCAAGCGCAGAGAGCAGCTATCAAAATGTTGATTTATATATCAGTGTACCCAGTTTAAAGTGAAAAATTATGAAATACTAATATGTTATTTTGATAATTGGAGTGTTTGCTATTTTTTTTTATATGTGTGCTTTTTAGGGTGGGGACTATAGTTCTACAAAATGACAAATAATTCATCTGTGTTCTCTTTTTATTTTTTCATTAAAATAAGTGGCTATTTAAAAAAGAAAAAGAGCCCTGACCGGTTTGGCTCAGTGGATAGAGCGTTGGCCTTCGGACTGAAGGGTCCCAGGTTCCAGGTTCGATTCTGGTCAAGGGCATGTGCCTTGGTTGCAGGCACATCCCCGGTGGGGGGTGTGCAGGAGGCAGATGATCGATGTTTCTCTCTCATCGATGTTTCTGGCTCTCTATCCCTCTCCCTTCATCTCTGTAAAAAAAATCAATGGAATATGTTTAAAAAAAAAAAAAGAAAATCTGCAAGTTGCATCTCTAAATCGTCAATTTGCATCCATTGGAAATCCTTTAAAAAACAAAAACAAAAAGAAAAAGATTCCAGATGACCTATTATTTGGGTCTCTGACTCTTTAACTGCTCAAAGAAAAGGATTCAAATTGAATTGGATAGCTCTTTCAGAATTCTGCCAAGACAAAACTAAGAGTAGACAATTTGACTGGTGAGAAGCTAGGATGAATGGAACTTTGGGAAAGAGGAATGTGCAATAGCCCACTGTTTATCACCCTCCTCTACCATCTACCCACTTCCTAATTTCACCTCTCCTTTCTGCCTATGCTGCTTCATGGGGCCAGTCTTTGCTTCTATGATTCCTCAACCTCCAAACTTACTCCCTAGATTTGAAGTCTGGTAATGACTGGGTTGGGGAAACAGTCAAACACAAGTTGGGAAGTGAAAGAATTGTATTTCTAAATTTTTTCTTGGAATTCAAGAATTAAATCTACATTACAGTCTTGTGAGAGGATGGGAAAATAGCCTCTATCATTTATTATTATTATTATTATTATTATTACTAATATTTCCTTTTGAAACGAGAGAGTTGCCTAGTTTTAATTTTAAAATTAAATTTTATTTTACTTAATGCTTTTTAATAAATTCAACTAAACAAAATTTTAATATTCTAGTGGCTAATATTTCAGGATAGCTTTAAAAACATTTAAAATGTTTTATTGATTTTAAAGAGAGAGGAAAGGAAAGGGATAGAGAGATAGAAACATCAGTGAGAGAAACATCATGGATTGGCTGCTTCCTGCATCCCCCTACTGGGAATAGAGCCCGAAACCCGGGCATGTGCCCTAACTGGGAATGGAACCAGTCACCTCTTAGTTTGTGGGTTGACACTCAACCACTGAGCCACAAAAAAATCAGGATAGCTTTAACAAATCTAAATCTCTAACACAGGGGGACACTAAAATGATAATAGAGCTCTGAAGCTTAGCGAGACTTCTCTTGGAATATTGATGGTGAGCAACTTAAGATTCTATTTCGTCTGTAAGCAAAGATAAACTGGTTTTGAACACAGTCCTTTCCTTTCTCCCTATCAACTCCACTCCTTGCTTCTTAACTTTCTCTTTCAAAATTTTAAGTGAATGAAAGCTCTACTCAACAGATTTTCTTGTTCTTTTTTCTTAAAATAACCATGGTGCTCCCATTTCTGAGGCAGGAACTAAATTTCAAACAATTAATGTAATCTCCATTGCATAAAAATAACCGTGTGGTGGGGGGAGAGGGGAACATTTGTATAAGCTGGCTATTCCTGCCAACTATGCAACAGAGACACAGTCGTTTCCACGTGGAACCTTTTCTCAGCAGAAAACATCCAACCTTCTTTTAGGCTTGAACTGCCCAGAATAGCAACCCCCAACTCCTGTCTAATAGTTCTTTAACATAAATTCAGTTCTCAAAATAATTCAAATATGGTACTTTTTGAAATAAACATGGTGGTGGTGGTGGTGGGAAGGGGCGGGGTTGGAATCTGGGCTTTGTGCCAGAAAAGCAAGAAAAACGCATCAGGTTAAGGATGTCCAGCACATTTTTGTTTTAATTCTTGAAGACCTGTGTTTTCTTAACTTTTTCAAACAAGACTTAACTTATTTTGCATGTACTACATTTCACTCCCTCTGCTCCGCAG